AAAATAAAAAAAAACATTGAATGGGATTAATAGTCCATTAGATACTACAGAAGAAAATATTAGTGAACTTGAAGACATAGCAATAAAAATTATCTAACATAAAACATAAAGGGGGGGAACCAAAAAACAAACAAAAACTGAAAGAACTCAAAGAGGAATATAACATTAGTGAGGTGTGGGAAAATTTCAAGCCCCTTAAAATAAGAACAGTTGAAATACCTTAAATATGGGGTAGATGGAAAATCACTGAAAATTTTCAAAATAGAGGGTGCTCCAAATCCACAAAGTCAAGAATATTAATGAACCTGAGGACAAGAAACATGAAGAAAATTATACCAATGCACATGACAATAAAATTGCTTCAAACAAATGACAAGTAATCATAAAAATAGCCAAAGAAAAATAGATACATCACACTAGGAAAGCCATATTACAGAGGGAAAAAGAAATGAATAAGAGGAAATTTCTTATTGTTAACAGAAACAATGCAAACCAGGGAACAGTGGAGGAGCATTCTTAATATGTACTGAAAGAAAAAGCAAAGAAACAAATAGCAACAACAACAATAAAAAGTGTAACACTATAATTCTATATACAGCAAAATATCTTTTTTGGATCAAGATAAAGTAAGTTTTTTTCCAGATATTTAAAAGCTGAAATAATTTAACACCGGCAAGACTATAAGCTATAAGAAATTTTAAGGGAAGTCCTTCAGGTTGAAGGAAAATGATATCAAATTGAATTATCTCAGAAATTCAAGGTTCTTTAAACATTGAAAAATCAATCAATGTAATTCACTGCATTTACAGACTAAAAAAGGAAAACCATCAACTATCTCAATAGATGGAGAAAAAGCATTTCTCAAACTCCAACATTCATTTCTGTTACACACTCTCAGGCAAAGCAGAATAAAGAATATCCTCAAGTGGCAGAAAAAAAGAAGTAAAACACATGCAGATTGGAAAGGAAGAACTAAAAGTCTGTAATCAGATGACACGATCATCTATGTAGAAAATCCTATGGAACTTACATGAAAGCTATAAAAACTAAAAAGCTAATATACAACTTATATACCACCAAACTCAAAACTAATATACAAAAATAATTGTATTTCTGTTCACTAACTGAATAATCAGAAACCAAAATTGAAAACAACATTTATAATATGATCCAAGTAAATGAAATACTTAGAGGAAATAAAATGTGCGCAAAACCTATTCACCAATAACTATAAAACTTAAAAAAAATATTAAAGACCTAAATAGAGAGCTATTCCATGCTCATGAATCAAGACTCAAAATGGAAAAGATGTCCATTTCATCACCTCCAAATTTAATAAGTCCCAGTCAAAATCCCAGCATAATATTTTTAAATTGACAAGTTTATTCTAAAATTAATATGGAAGTGTGAAGAACGTAGAATAGCTAAAGCAACTTTTGAAAACATTGAAATTAGAAGACTACATTACCTGACTTTAATATTTACTATAAAGCTACAGTAAATAAAACATTGGTGCCAGGACAGAGAAACAGATCAATGTAACAGAGATAAACTCAAACCAATATGACCAGTTGATTTTTGAGAAAGATGCAAAGGCATTTCAATAGAGAAAGGAGAGCCTACAACAAACAGTAATAGAACAACAACTGGGTATCCATACGCTTTCCTCCTCCCTTCTTCCCACAAAAATAATACAGCTTCGTCCGTACATTCCACCATAAATGGGCATGCTTTCTTCATTTTATTGTGCTTCAAGATATTGTGTTTTTTACACTTGGAAGGTTTATGGCAATCCCGCATCCAGCAAATCTATTAAGTGCTGTTTTTCCAATAGCATGTGCTCACCATCTCTGTCACATTTTGGCAATTCTCACAATATTTCAAACTTTTTAAATATGGTTTTATATCTGTTATGGTGATCTTTGATCAGTTGTCTTTAATCTTACTACTGGAATTGTTTTGAGGCACCACAAACGGCATCCACATAAGATGGCCAATATGTAGCTCCAAGGTGCAACTGGTTAGCATACAGTTCTTAGAAGATGGCGAACTTAATTGATACATGTTGTGTGTGTTCTGACAACTCCGCAGACTGGCTGTTCCCTCATCTTCCTCCTTCTCCCCAGGCCTCTTTGTTCCCTGAGACACAAAATATTGAAATTAGGCCAGGCCTTTAAGTGTTCAAGGGAAAGAGTCACATGTTTCTCACTTTAAATCAAAAGATAGATATGATGAAGTTTGGTGAGGAAGGCATGTTGAAAGCTGAGATAGGCCAAAAGCTAGGACTCTCGTGCTAAATAGTTAGCCAAGTTATGAATCCAAAGGAAAAGTGCTTGAGAGAAATTAAAAGTGCTACTACAGGTTGGGCGCGGTGGCTCACGCCTGTAATCCTAGCACTCTGGGAGGCTGAGGTGGGCGGATCGCTCAAGGTCAGGAGTTCAAAACCAGCCTGAGCAAGATCAAGACCCTGTCGCTACTAAAAATAGAAAGAAATTAATTGGCCAACTAAAAATATATAGAAAAAATTAGCCGGGCATGGTGGCACGTGCCTGTAGTCCCAGCTACTCGGGAGGCTGAGGCAGAAGGATTGCTTGAGCCCAGGAGTTTGAGGTTGCTGTGAGCTAGGCTGACACCACGGCACTCACTCTAGCCTGGGCAACAAAGTGAGATTCTGTCTCAAAAAAAAATAATAAAAATAAAACAAAACAAAACAGTGTTATTACAGAGAACACACGAATGATAAGAAAGCAAAAACAGCCTTATTGCTGATATGGAGAAAGTTTCAGTGGTCTGGATAGAAGATCAAACCAGCCACAACATTCTCTTAAGCCAAAGCCTTATCCAGAGCAAGGCCAGAACTCTCTTAAACTCCATGAAGGCTAAGAGAAGCAAGAAAGCTGCAGAAGAGAATTTGGAAGCTAGCAGAGGTTGGTTCATGAGGTTTGAGGAAAGAAGCTGTCTCTATAACATAAAAGTGCAAGGGGAAGGAGGAAGTGCTGACAAAGAAGCTGCAGCATATTTTCCAGAAGGTTTAGCTAAGATCACTGATAAAGGTGGCACTAAACTGATTGTCATTGTAGAAAAAACAGGCTTCTGTTGGAAGAGGATGCCATCTAGGACATTTATAGCTAGAGAGGAGAAGTCAATGCCTGGCTTCAAAGCTTTGAAAGACAGGCTGACTCTCTTGTTGGGGACTAATGCAGCTGATGAATTTAAGCTGAAGCCAGTGCTAATTTATCGTTCTGAAAATGGTAGGGCCCTTTAGAATTATTCAAAATCTACTCTGTCTATGCTCTGTAAGGGGAATAACAAAGTTTGGATGACAGCGAATCTGTTTATAGCATATTTGCTGAATATTTTAAGCCCATTGTTGAGACCTATGGTTTAGAAAAAAATGATGCCTTTAAAAATATAACTGCTCAAGCCAGGCGTGGTGGCTCACGCCTGTAATCCTAGCACTCTGGGAGGCTGAGGCGGGCAGATCGCTCAAGGTCAGGAGTTCGAAACCAGCCTGAGCAAGAGCAGGACCCCGTCTCTACTATAAATAGAAATTAATTGGCCAACTAATATATATAGAAAAAATTAGCTGGGCATGGCGGCACATGCCTGTAGTCCCAGCTACTCGGGAGGCTGAGGCAGCAGGATTGCTTGAGCCCATGAGTTGGAGGTTGCTGTGAGCTAGGCTGACGCCACAGCACTCACTCTAGCCTGGGCAACAAAGTGAGACTCTGTCTCAAAAAAAAAAAAAAAAAAAAAAGATATGACTGCTCATTGACAATATACCTAGTCACTCAAAAGCTCTGATGGGGATATATACGATTAATATTGTTTTATTGCCTGTTGCCACAACATTCAATTGTAGCCCAGAGATCATAGAGTGATTTCAACTTGAAATTCCAAGCAATTGAAAAACACTTCACTAGATCCTAGATGCTATTACCAAAATAGAAACTGCAGTCTTCAGCTAGTTTGTGTATGTGGCATTTAAGAATAGAAGGGACCTGCACTGAAAGAATAAATCCTCAGCGTTTAAAAAAAAAAAAAATAGATTACACATCGTGTGATTCTACATATGTAAAATTTTGAAGACACAAACTACTTTTTAGGGACAAAAAGTAGAGCAGTTGTTTTCTAGGGATTGGTTGGCAGGGAGAGGTGTGAAGAAGGGAATACAAATGGGGATTACAAAAATTTTAGAGGTGATATGTCAGTCAGTCAGTCATACACCAAAAAAAAAGCAGTAAAAATTGAAGTTTGCAAGTGTGCTAAATGAGGCTGATTTCTCTATTTCTACCTGGCCATCCGGACTGATGGGGACAAATTATGGAAGCATGGTGGCTCCTTTGGAGTGAGAAAAGGCCCCGATGGCAGAGGAATCCCGTATTGACTACCCACTAGGTGTCAGGCCCTGTGTCAAGCACTTTAAATGAATTATCCCTTTTCATTCTCATAAAAACTCTTTGAAGTAAGTAACATCATCCTTATTTTACACATGAGAAAATAGAGCCTCCAAGAGTTTGAACCACTCGCGCTGTGACTGCTGCTCTCTGCCATGCAGCCAGCGCTGTTGCCAGAAGACTTCACTGCCTGCTTCCAGTCACAGCGCTTTGCTTAGTCCTGGAAACTCTACCTTCCCCTACAATACTGGGAATGGGGAAGGGGTGGAATCCCCCCCCTACTCCCCGGGAATTATGTGTTCTTGCTTGGTCTGGAGTCCAAGGTGGTACTGAGGACCTGGGAGAGATTAGGATTCTTGCACTTGGGGTGACCAACCATCTTCCTTTCACTGGAAGAGAAGGAGTTCCTGGAAAGCAAGACTTTGATTTTAAAACCACGCTGAGTCAGTCATCGGACTCTAGCTCAGCAGAGGGCTTGTTCTCCAGGACTCAAGTTTTCTGGCTCCTTGGTCCTTCAGGACATGCCCAGAGTATTTTCTTGGACTTTAGGCCAGACTGATGAGATGGCTTCCCCGGCAAATAAAGGAACAAAGGAAGGCAATATTCTTTTTTCATTGCTCTTTATTTCTGTGCTGTCTAAATGTCAGGATCACTAGGGAAGATAATTCCTGCCTTTTCAACCTTACATTTCCAGATGGAGGTTTACCTAGAATTGGTGGCTATGAAAAGAGTCAGGGCCTCTACTTGGGTGGAAATGGTAGTCAACGGGAAAGCAGCTTTTCTAAACATACTGAGCTAGATCCTTAGTGATGCCCCACCCTACAAAGTGGGGGACATGGCTCCAGAGACAATCTACTTGTTTGACTTCTTCTGCCCCGAACCTGGACTTTGGGGCTGCTGTTGAGAGCCCTTGCCCTGGTTTTCGGATGAGTTGGAATCAGCCTCTTTGTCACAGGACGTGCACTCGGGCCTGGGGTCTGTACAGCAGCACTTAGGCCGAGTACAACACGGGGGTCTTGGCTGGCAGCACTGAGTGCATTTTGCCTGGCAGCATTGAGGGCATTTTGGCTGGACGCAGCATTGAGGGCATTTCGGTTGGCAGCATGGATTGCATTTTGGCTGGCAGCATCGAACACATTTTGGTGGGCAGCATGGGTTGCATTTTGGTTGGTCACACATCTTCTGGAGATTTGGAGATCCTAGAAAAAAAAAGAGAGAAGAATCTTGTCATCAGCAGGAAAGCTGAGTATCTGCTTTAATCCCCTCCTCCTTCCTTAACCCCTGGACACATCCATCTTCAGGGTGGTGACTCAGACCAGGGTTAGGAAAGCAGGGGGCACAGCCAGCCCCATAAATCTGTGCCCTTGTATATGTCAGTATGTTTGTTCCTTACCAGGGAACCATTTGCCAGATAAAGAATCAAAAGACTAGAATATGTAAGAAATTTGCCTCAGGTCTCTTCTCTAATGAGAAGCAGTGTGATCCTCAGGAGACTGATTCTGAGTCAAGTGTCAGGTACTTCACGAACATTATCTCATGTAATGATTGCTACCAGCCTAAGACGTAGGCATTTTGACCCCTCCTTACGTATGAGGACAAATGAAGTTCGGAGATCTACCTCAGTTGCTTATAAGTGGATTCAAGCCAGGTTTCATTCCCCCCACCTCCACCCCAGGCCCAAGCATGTGCTTGTTCTGGTCTCAGATGTGGCACCCAGGGACCCAGGTATACTTAGGGGGACCACCTGTCACACGTCTCCTGAATGTTCCATCTCACCCCTTGCACTGGAGACATGAGAGGTCAGCTGCTGGTGGGGAAGGGCCAGCAAGACAGAATGGAAGGGACATTGCTCTGGGCATCACAGGACCTGACTTCCAGGCCTGGTTCTATACCCCCCAGCCACAGGGCTCGGGCAGCTCTCTCTTCACCTCTCTGGGCTTTTATCTCTTCTTCTATAAAAGGGCAGTGGTGAGGTTGAGGAGGGAGAAATTGGACCTTGTAGGTGTCCTCAAACTCAGCCATTCAGAACTTTTGTAATTTCCTGATTCTTCTAGTAGTAGAAAAAACCCAAACAACTCTTTCTTTGCTTCTGTCAACCGACCCTTCTTCCCCCTGGGAAATTAAGTCCTCCCGGGAAGGTCCCTAGGCTTAGGCCCCAATTTGGGACCCCTGGGGTAGCCCCTTTATGGTTTACCCTGTCCCTCCTATGGCACATAGATGAATGAATGAATGCCACTGTTGTGGCCCCAGACCAGGACAAAGGGTCTAGAAGTGGCCAGGAGTCAGCAGGCAGCGAGCAGGGTAGCTATCTAGCCTTTGGGGGGATATAGAAGGAAGAGAAATGAGCACCTACCACCCCCCCCACTGGGGACTCAGCCCACAGCCATGCACCCATGTGAGGGAGGGGCCAGGCTTGTCAGAGCCCTGTCATAGAGCAGAAAAAATGGGTGTGGGACTCGGAGTGACAACAGCTGAGGTGCAATCATGGGATTGGTGAGAAAAGCCTCTCCCCCAAACTGGTTTTTTAAAAACTGAACCAGTTACTACGGTGGGCTGTCCTCTAAGGAAACACATGCCTGTGTATCGATGTTGGGGTGTGTGTGCGCGCACACGCACATGTATGCATGTGTCCGTGTGTAAGCACAGGTGCACAAAAGGAAGACCTAGAGGTTCGTGATGATGGCTGTTTAGCTGGATCAAGTTGAGACTACTGTGCTCACTCATGAGCCTTTTAAATTATGTGTGACTAGCTCACAGCAGTGCCTCCTTCAGCTGTGGGCTCCTCTCCTCCCAGTGGCTCCGTCCTTGCCCTCCATCCCATGCCTGCCCTGCCGCCCTGCCATCGGCCACTTCCTGCCAGACATGCTCCAGATGCTCTGTCCGATGCAGAAAGCCACATCTCTTGCTGTTTTGTCCTGCTCTTTTCTGTGTCCTCCAGATAGAGGGACTCTTAGGGACAGGAACTACAAATCCCTCCTCACATCAAAGGCTTCCTGAGGTTCACGCCTGTAGGACCGAAATCTGTATCATTCTCCCGCAGGGTGTGCAGGATTCTCCAGTTAGATCGTTATTAAAGGACACCTGCCAGATGGCCTACTTTGCTGTCTGAACCGCCCTTGTGACTATGGAAGACCCAGGGCTTTGGCTATCCTAAATGATGGGTGTCAGGCCCTTAGACTCAGCCCTTTTCATCTGGGGATCCACCTAAATCCAGGTCGTGCTGTACAAACTGTCCCACTGAGTCAGGTGTGGCTGCTATCTCCACCCATGGAAGCAGCAACTTTCAAACTGATGAGCCGTGACCCAGCCCCAGCCCAGCTTCTCTCCACTTCAGCTTTCTGAACTGTCAGAGCCTCCTCGCCTTGGGGTTTCTCTGTCGGAGACTCCTGGCCTGTGCCCAAGGAGGCTGCACTGTGTTCCCTGACGCTGTCTGAGGGTCACCTGGCAGAAATGCCCACAGGCCCCCCTATGCTTTGAATTTTCTAAACCAGGGCACCAGGAATGAGAGAAATTTGGGAAGGGTCACCTTGCAAAACCCTGTTACCTGCTCTAAACCCTCCATACTCCCAAGCCCTGGCTATATGGCTGTAGCCAGAACCAGGTCGGGGCAGTTCCTGCATGAAAGGGGAAAATGACTTCTTGGGTTGGGAGGTTGGCTTTGACTCATCTGTGACTTCGCTTCCTGCCAGTTATTCTAGGATTCATTCTGCCTTTCAGGAAGAGGGTTCCTGTTTTAAGAGAAAGATACAAGGGCAAGACTTCTAAAGGGTGGGGGTGAGGACAAGTCACAGTCCCTCCTCCCAGGTCGGGGGAAGTTGCAAAGAGGCTGAGTGAGGTGGCAGAGACCTGCCCTGTGAAGCCCTGGCTTGCCTGGGTGGGAACAGGCAGGTGAGCGGCCAAGCAATGGGGAGGCACAGAGAAAGGAAATGAGACCTGGACGTATCAGCATAAAAACAGGTCAAAGGAGAGAGCAAAGGGCCATGAGTGCCCTGCTGTCGACCACCATTGTTGTGCTCAAAGCTATGTCACAAAGGGTGGGGGGGGGAGAGTGCACACACACATGCCTTTGGTGCCCCGGCAGCTGTACGGTATGAGTGTGGGTGTGCGCAGGGACCCTGATATCTGCCTCCTTGTTTGAATCTTCCCTCAGGGGCCATACCTAAGACCAGACTCTGAGCGGGGAGGGGGAAGAGCGAGTCCCTTCAGGTTTCATTTTCTGTTGTTTCTGTCTGTCTGTGTTTGGTTTTGCCTCCTTCACCACTTCTTCTCTCCGCCTCTCCATGGCTCTCTGGTCTTTCACTCTATCTCTGTCTTTCCTCTCCCCTTCTATAGCTGTGGTTTACCTTTCTCTATCCTGATGGTCAGTGCCCTGAATTGACCCTTCAGAGTCTCTTTGCCACTGGGAAAATCCAGCTCTGTAGGATCCATCCTTCCAGGTACAGACTGGATTGTTTCTACAGAAGCAAATCTCATCCCAGCCACCAGAGGGTGTGGAAGCATCTGAGTGCACTGGGGACTCCCATCCAGGGGCTCCCCCACAGAGGCTCCAAGCATGTGCCCTGTGGTCAGGTCCTAGGAATAAGTCCTGAAAGTGGAGCTTGTGCCATGAGGAAGATGGAGAGCAGGTCGGGAGTCAGCCTTGTTCCCTGCGGCCTGGGTAGGGCCATGCTAAGTCCCTCAGCAGCCTCCCCACCCTGGACACAGGTCCCTGCCCTCTGAGCCAGCACTGTCTCCACTGTCCCGCTGCTGCCGGGTGGACAGTGCCTGCTTTCCTTTAATCAGAAATCACCTCTAGTCACTGGCCTCCTGACAGATGTTCCTCCTTTAATCCAGGAATGGTTAACCCTCGTTGAACCCTCCTACCTTCAGATCCTTGGCTCCTACCCAACAAACGTGCCTCCTGTACCACCCTGCCTCCTGCGAGACAGTTTCCTCTCCTTAGGACAAGATTCTCCCCAAGTCCCATATTCCCTCCTTCCTCACCAAGGTCCACACTGCCTGCCCCAGGAAACCTGCCAGATCATGCCATAACACCTGTGGCACAGAGCCAGGGCCATCCTTTTAGGTCTACTGCTCTGTTTTAGTGAGAATCCATGTAGAGCCAAACCCAGGTCATGAAGGTCCTGGCAAAGCACACTAACCTCTCTTTGAAATTTGACCACCAGCCCAGCCTCACCTCCAGCCACGTCCTCTCAGGCTAATCCTCAGACGGGCTCTGATTAGGCACCTGCAATCCCATTCACCTCTTTCTGGATCTTTGAATGTGTTCTGCCCTGTCCTCAAACACCATTCCCTGGTCTCCATCCCCACAACCTCATTTAGTATTATTCAAACCTCCAGTCTCCACTTAAACAGCAGCACTCCCAGGGGGAAAACTTCCTTAACCTATACGCTCTGTCTCCCGGACAGGCTTTCTTGGAGCCCCCTGTACTCCCCATCACCCTTTCATAATAGTCATTACTTCCCTACTTGTCTGACTTCTCTGCTGTGCTGGCTTCATGAGCACAGGCGTCCTCGCCATCTTGCCTGCCACTGTTTCGTATCTAACAAACTGCATGATATTATGTTGGCCTCAGTAAGCAAATAAGTAATGAATGATTGAATGAACGAATGAACAAGCCATGGGAGGAAAACCCAAAAGATAAGGTTTCTCCGTGTTACCTGGTCTGGTCACACACACACACTCTTCAATTCACGATTTTCATGCTTGACTTCTCACGGAGGCTGTCTTCCCTTGACTGGGTCTAGCAGATGTGATGGATCTTTCTCAGCAGCCTAGTGAGTCCATGACTAACAAGAGTCAAAGTCTTCTGAGCCAGGTGGGTTCCCCTCCCCTCCTAGTGGCAAGAGTCTAGGTAAGCCTCTATGACATCATAATTCTGTCTCCAAGACTCTATGACTGTGAGCGACAGACTGACTCACCAGCACCCCCTGCTGGCTGGAGGGTCTGACCCACTTAGTTTATTTCCTGAAAGAAAACTCTTTAACCCATAATAAGCATTCTGTCACTTCAAACACAAGCCTAAAGTACAGATTTGTATTGAGTGTCCACTATCTACCAGAATCCGGCCAAAAAACTGAAGTGTAGCTCAATAGGATGTAGTTCACATTTTCAAAGATCTAATTAAAAAATCAAGGCAAGTCAATAAACAACTTTGATACTATGTGGTAAGAAGGATGGTAGGCTAAGCTCACGGTGCCATGGCTGTGTGTGGGTCCAGTTTAGGGTTCTGAGAGGCTTCCTGGAAGAAGTGATGTTTAAACTGGGTCTTAGCAATCAGAGCTAGGGAGTAGGACGTGGGGTTGGGTCTGAGGGGACATTTTCAGACCCAGCGATGGCAAAGTGTGGACTGTTTGGGGGAGAAGCCCCATGTGGCTGGAACAGAGTAGGGAGTAAGGAGATGGGGGAAATTAAGCTACAAAAGTATATAAGGCTGTGTTGGTTAGGGCCTTGTATGCCAAAAGAAGGAGTTTAGACTTCATCCTGAGTTCACTGGGAACCAGTGAAAGGTTTTAAACGGAGGACAAACTGGGGCTGTCAGGGGCAGGGACACTGTTTCATTCTCTTTGATATTCCTAGTGTCTGGCTCAGCACTTGGCACATGGCTGATTCTGAAACTGAATCAATTTAATCACCTAAAATAGTGATGAAAGAGAGGCATTTGGTTACATTTGTTCTCTTCCTTTCCTCTTCTAGTATGGTCTCTTTGAGGACAGTGACTAGGAACTTATCTTCTCCTAGAAAGCAGACCTGCCATTAACATTTGCAGGGCACTGGGAAGAACATAAATGGAGGCTCCTCACCTGTGGGGGCCACCCTAGTTCTATTCCTACTCCCAGCTCCATCCTGACCATGAGGGAGCTCAGGTGTGCATGCGTGCATACACCTTAGCCACGCCATCCAAGTTCTGTTCATACACTGGCTTTTCAAACCGTCCATGTCTTGGCTTTTAGGCAATCTCCTGGCTGCTTTTGGGCCACCCTGATTGCTGTCCCTCAGCCATGTGCATATTCTAGAGCCACCCCTGGGGCCATTTAGTAAGTTCTTTACCTCTGAGGTCAGTTGTCACCAAGATCAGGACAGGGTCATCTCTATTCATCAATATTCTGAATAGTCTGTGAATAATTTCTGAATTTGCATCCACTTGTTGTCCTCTGAAAGGGACATCTGAAAGGCCTGGAAGGGAGTAGCTAGGCCATCAGCAACAACTTCTGTGTCCTACCAGGTGAATTGGACCCCAAATTAAAGCTGCAGGCTTTAACTCAAGCCCTTAACTGTCCTCCAGTGGGATTTGGGACTACCTCCTCTCTGTCACCATTCTGCTTTCGAGAGGTTGAAGTATCACAGCCCTTCTCCCAACTCCACTCTACATCTTGGGTCCCAACTCCAGTTAGGTGGCCGTCCCTTTTGCCTCCTCAGACCCAGTTAGCCTCACCAACAGCAAGAATTCATAAGGCCCATCAAGGTAATGAAATAGTATGAGAATTTTCAAGTAATTCTTGACTACTGCATCTAGTTCAAGACTTAGCTTTACTGCCTCCTGGTGGGGACACAGCCACCCTTAACAGTCCGAAAACAAGAACAATAGCTCCCCTTTAGTTGACTTATCTAACATATGAATTCCAAAAATTTCTGTGGTACTGTGTGTGTGTGGGGTGGGGGTGGGGGTGGAGGGATGGGTGTGAATGAACAAGAGAGAGAGTGAGCGTGCCTGTTATCAATTTATTGGCTCTCAGTGTCAAACACACCCTTTGATATATGCTCTAGGATAAACAAGGGAACTCCTTGAATCATCTCCCCTTTAAAGTGAGGATGATGTTACTCTTTCCTGGTATAGGGTGTTAGAGGGATATTTCAGGGAAATTGCAGAAGAAAGAGGTGGGCGTGTGTGGCCATCTGATGGTGCCTGCCCCAGGCCTGGGGCTGGAACTAGATCCCCTAGTCTCCTTGCAACCTCCACGTGAGAATGACCTTTTCATAGCCTTCCCACCCTGAAACCAGAGCCCCCACCTGGCCTGAGCTGTACACAATGAGCTATATGGAGATGAGGTGTATGGAGACGGGGTGGAGGTCATCTACACAGGACTGTAGCCTTCTCTCCAAGCCCCCCCTGTAGCCTGCGTGCCTGAAGGCAGTCCTTTCATCCCTGCTGCCGCCTGGAAACCCACTTCACATCCGGGTATCTGCAGTTTCCTGATGTCCGCTTTGCCCTGTGTTGGGGAACATGGCTCATTGTTTGCCAAGCGACTCCAGCCCTGCCCAGTCTAAACAAGCCGGAGAACTCTGCTCTCTGGTGGCTGAACCGCACCTTTTCCAATGAGCTATGAACCCTATCCAAGTTTTTGTTTTTCTTTGGGTCTCTCTCTTAGCCTTTTCCTTTTATCTTATAGTTACTCTTTCTTTTATTATTGTTAGTAATTCTTATATTAAACTCCCTCTGTCTAACTTACTCCATGGTTTCTATCTCTTTGTTTGATCTGCTGCTACAGCCAGATAGCTTAGAGATAGAGCTTGGTTCTATAGTACACCAGCTCTGTGACTTTCAACAAATTACTTAATCTTAGATTCCTGGCCTGTAAAATGTGGATAGACATAGTTCTTTGTAATGAGCTATAACATCTTAAAAGATTGCTGGCATAGAGTTAGCACGCAGTTATATATGGCCAATCAAGGGAACAGAGTGAAAGAGAAGAAAAAGGGACAGAGAAGAAAAGTAAACCAGGAAAATAGCCAAAGGAACAAGAGGTTGAGAGAAATGTACACATAAACATGTTAAGCAAAATCCAAGAACTCAATAGACAATGAAATTAATTGGCAAGAGATCAACAGATCCTCTAATTTATTGAAAATAAGCATTTTATACAATACAGTTTAGAAAAAAATTTCAAATAATCTTATTTAATATTCAAAATATCAAAACCACAATGAGATATCACTGAACTCCAATGAGAATGGCTTTTATCAAAAAGTTCTAAAACAACAAATGTTGGCATGGATACACAGAGACAGGAACACTCATACACTGCTCGTGGGAGTGCAAACTAGTATAGCCTCTATGGAAAGTACAATGGAGATACCTCAAAGAACTAAAAGTAGACCTATCATTTGATCCAGCAATCCCTACTGGGTATTTACCCCAAAGAAAAAAGACATTATATCAAAAAGACATCTGCACTCAAATGTTTATACAAGCATAATTCACAATTACAAAGATGTGGACACAACCCAAGTGCCCATCAATACGTGAGTGGATTAATAAAATGTGGTATATGTGTACCATGGAGTACTATTCAGCCATAAAAAATGGTGAACTAATACCTCTAGTATTAACTTGGATGGAGCTGGAGACCAGTCTTCTAATTGAAGTATCACAAGAATGGAAAAACAAACACCACATGTACTCACCATTAAATTGGAACTAATCTATCAATACCTATGTGCACATATGGAAATAACACTCATTGGAAATCAAGAAGGTGGGAGGGGGAGGTGGGGATGGGTAAATTCACACCTAACAGGTACAATGCACACTATCTGGGTGATGGGCACACTTACAACTTTGTCTCAAATGGCACAAAAGCAATTTATGTAACCATAACGTTTGTACCCTGGTAATATTATGAAATTTAAAAAAAATTACAGTAAACCAACTTAGTATGTATTGTCATTGTCAAGGTTGTTTCCGTTTTCAAATGTCTAAGATGAGGCTCAGAGAAGTGTCCCAAGCCACGCAGCTAGCTTGTAAGTCTGTTTGTGAATCCTGCAGTCTTTCCACTACTGCCCTCTTGTGGTGTGGTAGATATCAGTACCTGACACTTCATAGCCCAGATTGTTAACCGCTGGGCCCTGCAGGGAGTTTAGCTCTCTCTGGGAATTGTCCTTCTGTTTTCATTTAAGCCGACTCTAGTCCCTAAAGAAGACGATACACAACACTTGAAGGTATCCAACATGACTCAAAGAAGAAATATTTATAATTATTGTCCCATCTTTTAAAATTTTTATTGTTTGTTTTCTGTTATATTGTGCTTAAAGTTTATATAGTAATATGTGTGTAAAATTTGTTAATGAATTCAAGTATACTTATTACATACTAATACAGGTTTGAATAAGATCACTCTAGAGCTACATTTCCCCAAATTATTTGACAAGGTATAAGTAATCTTCTTAATTTAATAATAGAGGAACACATTTAATTTTGTTCAAGAAATATGTATAATGCCTCCTTGCATTAAGGTTGGGGAACAAAATCAAAGTCCCACAGATTTACTTTCTCAGTAACAAAGCAGAATAAATTTATGTAGTAAAATGTGTATTCAGTAACATTGAATAGTATCTCAAGTATATTCTGATATTGAAAAATAAGATAACGTTGATGAGTTCTTTCCCATCCATTAGACAATATACATCAAGGCAAGGATTAGGCAGAAATTCTACATAAGGATTAGTAAAGGTCACGTGCTCCTGAGTCAGATAATCTATCAGAGACTTCCTGGCTTACCTCTGATTAGGCATTTTATTTTCTTAGATGTAGATCATCTGCTAAGAATAAAAATAGTACGTGCCATTTATATCACAATGATACTTCTATTGTTTACAGCATTTGTGAAGAACCTTATCACTTGCAATCATTTTTTTCACAGAACACGTGTTGTCGACAAAGCATAGCATCTCTAACATTCTGTGAAAGCTTTCAAATACTTTTAACAACTACAATAATTTTTCTAATAAAATCTTACATTGGGACCACTATATATAAGACAAACGAGTTTATCTATTTGTTTAGGTTTATCTTTCACATTGAAATTTACATCAGTTAATTAAGAAAAAAATGGGCTATTTGATGAACATACAAAAATTAATTCATGATTTGTGGATGACAGTGCAGTCTTATAACTAGTCTCGGCATCTGCTGTATTTCTGTATTTTTTTTTTCTGGCTGGTCAGCACCAGTAAAACCATAAATACTACTTTTCAAATGGTGATCAGGGCCTCTGCTCAGACTTGCACAGACTGTGCACAACACAACCCCAGGGAGCACCCGTCACAGCACCAGCATCGGACAGTGGCCAGGCTTGGTTTGTTCCTTTGTTTTACTTTTTAACAACTCACTTGCCAATTTGAGCATATTTTTCTATTAGATTAACCTCAATATTTGAAGAAGCAATTGTAAAGGGTTTGGGGGCTATCAGTAGAAATGCCTAAGAACTGCCCGCATTCTTTAATTAGAAAATGTTTAATGTCAAAAGAATTATTTTTTTAAAAAATGAGTGTGTCAGACAATGTAAATCATTGTTGAGTAGAGAAATATAGGACATGCCATGACTTGACATGATGTATGATGTGATACAGCACAATGTAATATATTACTTGCATATATATAATATTGTAAGACAATTCCACAATGCTACTCTTAACACTCTAAGATTCCTCATTCCCTGACTGTAAACTTTTAAAAGCAATTCAGCCACAGCAGATAGAAATGGTGGCAGCTGGGGGTGGGAGTGGAGAGGACCCTGCTTCCTGCTGGGCTCTCACAGCCTTCTCCCATTCTCTGCCTGCGTGACGCTCAGCACTGGTGCCGTCACACACTCTCTGCCTGTTTGACTCAGCATCACCAGCAGCTTAAGACCCCAGATCACCTGTCATCACCGGGATTCGTCCTTTCCCCATAGGTCTGCATATTCCCCAGTGGAACCCCATCTGTCACCCTTCACCAGTACCCCAAAGCCCCCAGAGTCCCCCAAGACTCATCTTCTATATCAATAAAACACACTCTACCAACCAGCTCCTCTCTCAAGGCCTCTCTGCCGTCTTGCTCTAACGGAAACCTGGGTTCCCCAGTGTCCTCTGGTGGCGTGGCTGTTTTCTTCCTGCCCACATAGTTTGTAGTCCCTGGGTCTGGAAGGGGCCAAGCATCCATTAGCCAGCCACTGGTCCTCCACTGCAGCTCCCCAGGAACCACTCAGCACTCGGCTCACTGTACTGCAACACTTCTTGTCACCGTCTTTGCTTATTTTACTATTTACAGAAATGATACCTTCAATAATTTGCTTTATAATTCTTTGACCTCTGTGCTTCTAATTGGTTTGTCCTTCAACCTCCCGTTTATCTACTCTCATGTCATATCAGCCTAGACCTCATTATTATTAACAACTTCAACCCTTTCATAACATCAAATTGAAGTAATCCACTCCCCAGACCTCACTTCCTGCATTCCCAACTCACTTCTCGTGTTCCAGCTCTAAGAAGTCTTGACATTTTCACCGGACATCACTTCCTTCATGCCTTCATTTCTCTTCTCACCCAGTATAAGCTCCATGAGCTACCACTATATGATCACCCGCTTGCAAAATCCACATCTTTCTTGCCCTCCTGTCTCTCTCCTTAAACTTCCAACACTTCCTTCCCCCTTCTCACTTTCAGCCGATGGACATACTTATTATTTTGCTGAGAAAATAGAAGCAATCAGAAGAGAACATCCACATTTTCTTGCCCCTGCTACCCTACCTACATTTGTCCCTTTATACTCTCTTTTCCTTCCTGCTACGGAGTACGATCTGCCCATGCTCCTCTCTGAGGACAGCCCCTCCACTGGTGCCCAGGACTCATCCCTATAGTCTACCCAAGAGTATCACACCAGCAATTGTCCCTGCTCTATCACTCATGATTATTTTGTCCCTCTATAAATTCAAATCAGGGTGTAAAATATTATATCATCTGCCATCTGAAATACACATGCAATGCCTATCTGAAAGATATGTCTGTCTCTCCTTTTTCTAACTTAAATCTCACAACCACTTCAAGTCAACACTCAATTACCTGTTTTCTTCACCGTGAAACTCCTCAGAAATGTTTTTGTCCTCTTTGTCTCTAATTCTACTTTAAACCTAGCCAGCCAAGCTTTCATCTCACCGTTTTGCCCATGTCAAGGTCCCTGATGATCTCCATGTTGCCAGATGTGATGGGTGTAATTGAAACTACCTCCCGAACTTGCCTGAGCCGGTCACCCCCTCTTTCTTGGAGTGCTCTCTTCGCTTGACTGCTCGGCTTTGACTCTTACAGAGATGGCCTCCTTCCTCGCTGGTCTCTCCACTAATTTTCCTTAATGCTTCCTTCTCATAGCCCTGATTTCCAAATATTAGAGTGTTCCAGGGCTCAGTCATTGTGTATCTTCTCCCTCTCTCTGTATTTAGTCTGTACGTGATATCATCCTGTCCCAAACATATGCTGACAATTCTCAAACTTCTTTTTCTAGGCTTTTGTATCCAAGATGCCTCTTCATTTTCCTACTCGGATAATTAATATTATCTCAAATTTAAAACAAAACTATCCCTCCCATTAAAAAAAAAAAAAAAAAAAAAACCCTGCTTCTCCTAAAGTCATCTTCATCTCTTAAAAAGTAACTCCATCCTTCCCATTGCCTGTATGAAAGCAATCCTTGACTCCTCTTTTTCTCATACATTCATATCTATTTACTAATGAATCCTGTTGGTTTGGTCTTCAAAATATATCTAGAATCTGAAAACTTCTTATCACTTCCACCACAGATGCCTTGGGCCAAGCCACTATTGGCTCCTGCCCTGATTGGTGTAGTGGCCTCCTGCAGGGTCACCCTGATCTGCATTTGACCTCTACAGTCTTTCCTTAATAAAACAGAGGCAGGGGCCGGGGGCGGTGGCTCACGCCTGTAATCCTAGCACTTTGGGAGGCCAAGGCGGGCGGATCGCTCAAGGTCAGGAGTTCGAAACCAGCCTGAGCGAGACCTCGTCTCTACCAAAAATAGAAAGAAATTAATTGACCAACTAAAAATATATATACAAAAAATTAGCCGGGCATGGTGGCGCATGCCTGTAGTCCCAGCTACTCGGGAGGCTGAGGCAGTAGGATCGCTGAGCCCAGGAGATTGAGGTTGCTGTGAGCCAGGCTGATGCCACGGCATTCACTCTAGCCTGGGCAACAAAGTGAGACTCTGTCTCAAAAAAAAAAAAAAAAAAAAAAAACAGAGGCAGGATAGCCACAGGTTGGTTAACAGATACAAAGTGAAGCTAGATAGGAGGAATAAGTTCTCATATCTGTAGCACAGTAGGGTGACAATAACTAACAACAATTTATTGTAATTATTTTCAAATAGTTGCAAGGGGATTTTGAGTGCTCACAGCACAAAGAAATGACAAATATTTGAGGTGATGGATATGCCAGTTACCTTGATTTGATCATTGCACATTGTATACATGTATCAAAAATCACACTGTTCCTCATAAATATGTGCAATTATTATGTGTCAATTAAAAATAATAATAGCAAAAAAAGCCCCATAACTTAGGTAATTGTGCACTTCTGGCTTTATCAGACATTGTTTGGCAATATGTCAGCATCTTAAATTTATTTATTTTTCATTCAACACACAACAATTACTTAAGCACATTTTGGCGATAGTGTCTATTAAAAACATAGTTACTACAATTTTTCTGCCATTGCTTTTGCAATATCAATGTAAATATCATATTGCAATGATTTATTTAATATGTTAAAAAGCTGATCTCAATATTTATAACTTTCCTTCTGTTGATTATGTGCCAGTCATTTTTTATTTAATTGCTTGAACGTACTGTACCAAAACAAGCAAAATGGAGATATTGCCAAAGGCCATATTCCTTTTTAGTTTTGTTGTAAATATTTCATGATTTCAGCCTTAGAATAATTCATGAAGTTAGGTTCTGAAGCATTCTGAACTTCTTTATCTGCAAATGATTCTAATCGTACTTCTAAATCAGCTGGTCATCTAACATCCTTGGTATCAATTGCATGTGATTTTTAACAAGCTATTCTCTAGTAGTACAGTCATACATCACTTAATGATGGGGTATGCTCTGAGAAATACATCAATACGTGCAATCTCCTTGCTGTGGGAACATCATAGAGTGTAATTACACAAGCCTAGATGATTTGGTCTACCACACACCTAGGCTGTATGGTATAGCCTGTGGCTCCTAGACTGTAAACCTGCACAGCATGTTACTGTAGTGAATATTGTACCAATGGTTTACAACCTTTTTGGCACCAGGGACAGGTTTCATGGAAGACAATTTTCCATGGGGTGGGAGGGAGGCAGAGTTCAGGCAGCAATGCAAGTGATGGGGAGTGGCTGTAAATGCAGATGAAGCTATGAAGAAACACTTGCCTGCCTGTGTGCCCCCACGTCCACAGTTCCTAAGTTTCATGGGAGACAATTTTCCCATGGGGGCAGGGCAGGGTCAGGGCTCTGTGGTCTGTGGGCGGGGCTGGGGGCGGGTTGAAAGACAGCAGCTATAGGCAATTGTAACAGGATGGTAAGTATTTGTGTATCTAAACATATCTAAACCTAGAAAAGGCCCAATTAAAATGTGTATATATATATAATTTATATAAAAATTATATATATACACACAGATATATAAAATATAGAGAGAGTAAAAATATAGTATAAAAGATAAAAAATGATACATCTGTGTAGGGCACTTACTATGAATGGAGTTTGCAGGACTGGAAGTTCTGCTCTGGGTAAGTCAGTGAGTGAGTGGTGAGTGAATCTGAAAACCTAGGACATTACTGTACACCACTGTAGACTTTATAAACACTGTACACTTAGGCTACACTAAATTTTTCTTCAAAAATAAATTAACCTTAGCTTATTATAACTTTTTAATTTTATAAACTTTTAATTTTTTTAAACTCTTTGTTTTATAATAACACTTAGCTTAGAACACAGACACATTGTATAGTTGTACAAAAATATTTTCTTTCTTTATATCCTTATCCTGTAAGCTTTTTTTCTATTTACATTTTTTTTTTTTAATTTTTAAAATTTTTGTTGAAAACGAAGACAAAAACACACACACAGCCCAGGCCTACACAGGGGCAGGATCATCACTATCACTGTCTTCCACCTCCACATCTTGCTGCATTGGGAGTCTTCACGGGCAATAATACACATGGAGCTGTCATCTCCTATGATAACAATGCCTTCTTCTGGAATACTTTGTGAAGGGCCTGCCTGAGGCCGTTGTAAAGTTAACTTTTTTTTTTTAATAAGTAGAAAAAGTGTACTCTAAAAAAGTAATGCTAAAAAATATAGCACAGTAAATATGTAAATCAATAACATAGTCATTTTTATTATTATCAAGTATTATGTACCGTACATAGCTGCACATGCTACATTTTTATGCAACTGGAAGAACAGTAGGTTTGTTTACACCAGGATCACCATGAACATGTGAGTAGTGCCTTGTGCTACAATGCCTATGACGTCCAGGTGATAGGATTTTTCAGTGTCATTATAATCTACGGGACCACTCTCTCATGTGGTCCATTGTTGACCAAAGCATTGTTATGCAGTGCATGACTGTACATGTTTTTCTGTCATGTACACTGTGGAAACCCACTTTAGATTTAATATAATGCATTTTCATTGCCAGATTTAAATTTATGTCTATTTTAAAAATTATCTTAGCTATTTCAAGTCAATGTACATTATGTTTTATAGCAAATCGACAATTTTAATTGTCAGGATGTAGCTGGCGTAAAGCTTTCTTGTGAAATCTCACTGCATAAAACATGTCAGTGAATTTACCATATTAGTAATAATTATAAAAGGCACATCCTGGTGATTTAAAAAATATAATCATATTGTATTATTTTAAGATAAATTAGAGTCAAATATTGGGCAATGGCATTAATTTTATACACTATAATCAATATGGTTATTGCTAGTTGAAGACAATCAGTACCAGTACTCTGTAGTTTTTTCGTTTTAAGCCTGAATATTCTGTTGGGAACAGAAATAATTATTTTTTAAAAATGTTCTCTGTTTAATTAGTGATCAATTTCTAGTGTAAAGAGTCATTATTTTACCTTGATCTAAATAAGCATTTATAAATATAAAGACAGATAAGAAAATGTATACTAGGTGCTAAGATTAGTTTTAGCATGACAGTATTATATATGACTATATATGGCATATGACTTGTTCACCAGCTGCTAAAATAACTTACCATGAGACATTGATGCACCTGGACTTATTTGACATCACAATGAGCTGTAATACAATTTGATGTGAATAAAATTTTACATAACTAGATACAGTATATACAGCGTGAGGTGGATGCATCACACAGTTATGCTCTTAATATTGGGATTTTTGAGAGAGCTAATTCATCATACCCTTTTTCTTTCTAAACTCTTAACCAATTGAGAAAGAGGTCAGTTTAAGAACCAAAATGGATTTCATAATATTTATCCCAAACCAGCCAGATGCAGTGGCTTACACCTATAATCTTAGCTCTCTGGGAGTCCTGTATGGGAGGATTGCTTGAGCTCAGTAGTTTGAGACCAGCCTGAGAAAGAGTGAGACTCTTTCTCTACTTAAAAAAAAAAATAGAAAAAATTAGCTGGGCATTGTGGTGTGCACCTGTAGTCCCAGTTGCTTGGGAGGCTGAGGTAGGAGGATCCCTTGAGCCCACGAGCTTGAGGTTACAGTGAGCTAAGATGATGCCACTGCACTGTAACCTCTAGCCAAGTGACAAGTGAGATTGTTTTTTTTTTTTTAATTTATTCCAAAATCTGAACCTTGGGGTCTGCATTGGAATAGAACTTGATCTGCAGAGAGACAACCTCCCAGCTCCTCGAGAGCGAGCACAATAGAACAGCACAGACACACACAGGTAGGACTCTTGCCATTTTGCCTCTTGGATGACTCACTCTTTCTCCAGTGGTAAGGAGTGAGTTTGAAATATAAGATACTATTTTAAAGAATGAGGCTAAGAATATGGAGAAAAAGAATATTTCCTTTTAAATTAATAAACATGACTAAAAAGTTAAAAACACACACTGCGATGTTACAAAATTTTTACTCTGGGATCTGCTAGTTAGACTAATAGCTCACATTAACCTGGAGAGCCAGGTGATTCCTAAGGTGTTATCATTTATCGTCTATTTAACATTTAACATTTTTAAGCAAGCTATTTAACATTTTTGAGCAATCATGTGGAATCTTATCCAGGGTGTCAAAACACACACACACACACACACACACACAAATAGAAATCTCAAGAACCCCTGAAACACCTCTCTGTTTCCATCCTACTGTTTCTTTTGTCATAGATTGAAACCATGGATCTGGAAGTCCTATTCCTTGGGCTGAGCATTGGGATGACAGAGATGGTGGTGACATCTGGCTTCATTCTAACCATGAGAGCTCAGTGCCCCGAGTGGCCCTGGCAAGCCATGACCTTTAGTGATTTATTAGGGGCCAAGAGGGTGGCCTGGAACAGAAGTTGCTAATCTTTCTTTTGCTAGGACACACCTAACAGGTGGAATTCATGTGTGAGACAGGCTCCCCTGCCTGAGCCCAGGTGTTTTAATAGCTGTGGTTTGGTTAATCTAAGCTGTGGATATGTGCAGTTTCTGGGGTACTGACCATAGCCCCATTCCTTTGTTTCCCACTGACCCGATAGGCGTCAGTGTGTCTCAAGACTGCGGCTAAGTGCCCATGGCCTTGACGGGTGGGCAGAAGCACTGCCGTGGCCTCTGGCCCACGTCCACTGTTGGGGTGGGAAGCGCAGTGCCTTGACAGAATACCCCCCTAACCCATGCCTTTGTCCCTCTTTTGTAGAAGACGGAAAGAACTCACAAAAGGTAGGCAGCAACTCCAAGGCCAAAGGGTCTCCCAGGTATTGTGCTAACGGGACCACTGTATGGATTCCCACCTGAGTCTGGCAGAGACAGAGTGAGGGACTCAGGGGTGTGGATAGGCTCAAGGAAAGTATTTTTCATGCCTCTTTAAACTGAGATCTGAGAGCTACAAGTACCCTGTGCCATGTCCTCTTTGCACATGAGATTCTCCCAAATAAGAGTGGTGTGGGAAGCAGAATGTTCTAGATGCCTAGGAAGAAAGCTCAGAGATGGGAACACCTGCTGGAACAGCATGGAACAGAGTCACTTAGAGTTTGAAACATGCCCCTTCTACTCCCCTCTGGGTCTTTCGTTTTCACAGTCCTCTCAAACAGCTCAGACCTTGGGCGTGACTTTGGGGGGAATTTCCCATTTGGCTGGCTTATTGTTGGGTCTGTTTAAAAAATCCAGGTTAATGTGAGCTCCCCAGGGCTAGGGTAGCAACAAACAACAAATAGAACAGGGTAACAGGAAAGATAAGCTTTATTTTCTCACTCTGATAAGGCTTCAGAGAGCAGATTTTTCTCTTGCATGCAGGTCCCCTTGATCTAGGAACAGAGCCAAGGCGAGGAGGCCTGGGGGTCTCAGCAAAGTGAGGAAGCCATCACCCATGAACCAGGAGGCCGAGAGCAGGAGGAGAGGGGAGAAGAAGGGTAAGAGCAAGGAAAGGGGTCGATTCGAGGCTGGTCTTCGGCTGTGATTCTTTGGTTCCGTGTAGCTCGGCAGGTCAGCTGCAGCCCCAGGAGCAATGGCAGTAACTGGAGCACCCAGAGGACCTCTCCTCGCAGCAGCCGGGAAGCTGGGGCGGGCTCAGGTAGACGCTGGGAAACCGGTGAGAAACTGGAGACAGGCTGACTTCAAAGCCAGAAACACAGCAGCTGGGAACGCAGCAGGAGTCGGCCGGAGGCGGGGATGGGGCTGGACAAGAAGCAGGAGCCTGAGGGGCCTGCGGGGCCTGAGGGAGGCACTTAGGTGGACATTTGGGGAGGGACGTGGCAGAGAGCTGGCTCTTCTGCTGCTTTTGCTGGTAAGACATCTTGGAGAAAGTCGGGTACCCTGAAAAACAGTGCAGATATTTTGAAAGTCCAATTAATACAAACCTTGCTTGTATCAATGTTTTTCTACAAAACCTGAAATTCTGGCTGCATCCTTACAGCACAGCAGCCCTGCTTTCCTGACAAAGGAGAAATTCAGCAGTGCATGGTTTAGAATTCGGCAACGCCTTCTCCTACATGCCTGGGTCTCCCCAGGCTCCTTACGTCAAAGGCGGCAGCTTAGCAGACTAGTTATTTCCCAGATCTTAGATTATTTGTTACCGTACCTTCTAATTTATACATCCTAGAAACCACATTTTTAGCCCATGTCCATGGCTATACTACCTCTCTTATCTCCCTTTTTTCCTTTCTTGTGTCATGGGCCCTACCCTTAGTCCTACTCTTCAGCCCTGTGTGGCTGTCTCTTGCCCTATTAACTAGCTCCCCGATCCCTGACCCAACTCCTCCCTGCCCCAATCTCTGGTTAACTTAACCCCTTCTGGAATCGATGCTTCTGAACCACCTCGATATGATTTCTGTGAGCCCAGTCTTCCTGAAGTTGCCAGTTAGTTTCCATTCCCTCCAACCTTGAGTGGCTTGTCCCACTCAGATGAGATATGGCAGCCTCAGCCGTCCCCAAACTGCCACCAGATCAGTAAGAACACTCACCTTGTCCTCCTAACCTTGGGCAAGTGATGGGATTTAGGGGACACTGTGAGCTGAAGCCTTTTATACAAATACTGCACCCCACTCGAGGGAATGAGCCATAGGTGATGTGAAAGCTGTTTCCCAACCATGTGGTTGTGACGACAACTTCCCACATTCCAGTGGCTCTGTCATTCTGCCGCTACTGGATCCCCCAGAGCATCCTCCTCTCCATAAACCCTGGAAGTATTTCCATAAAGATAAGAAGATCATGATTTACAAGGGTGTGCATGATGGCACAGCTTGGGAATTGAAATTGGCATTTTTGGAGGAACACAGAGCATGACAGGGCAGGACATGGAAAGGCACAAATGTTGGTTCTACCCAGGCACAGACAGGGGTTTCTGTAGGTTTTATCAACAAGTTAGGAACCAATAATTTAAGCACTCACGAGCCACTGCTGAGAGCTCAGTGTATTTGATTCAGATACCAAAGTATCTGAATATTCCCAGCCATGTGGTATGATAGAAAGTCCCAGTGGGAAAGGGTTTTAGGATACTGCTTACACTGCAGACACAGCCCAGGAGATTGTAGCCTGAGAAGGCAAAGGCAATGCTCAAAGTTGCACAGAGTCTGAGACGGAAGCCAGATCTCCTAACTCTCTGATTATGAATCCAGGTCCCCTTTTCTGTTCACAGCCCCTTCACTTGGACTTGCTGAGTTGCATCTACTGGAATCCACCTTCTCCCTGCCCACCAGCTCCCTGCTTTCTTCAAGTCACTCCCACACAGTTTATTCTCATTAGTCCATCATTTCAACCACTGTTTTGCAATATAATAAACTCCCTTGTCCATTTGGCTTGTCAATGCACTTGACTGACAAAACCTCAGCACTGGCCTAATCCTCCCTTCTGTGCCCAGTTGCTATAAAACTGAGAACAAAAACAGACACTGTGGCAGATTGACACCATCATAAAAATCATAGCATCCATCTTGGCTGGGCCCAACACACTGCTTGGTAATTCCCATATACTTCCCTGTATTCACTATGCACATACGTGATGCCTTTTCTCCTCTCTCAAAACTTCCAAACTTTTGCTGCTACCCACTCAGGGGTAGGGAACCTGCAGCCCTCTGATTTCAAGATTCTTCTTTTTTAAGCACCAAAGAGGCAAGAAAAGCTGCATCCTTCTCTGCTGTACCCCCTTTTTTTTTTTTTTTTTTTTTGAGACAGAGTCTCACTTTGTTGTCCAGGCTAGAGTGAGTGCCGTGGCGTCAGCCTAGCTCACAGCAACCTCAAACTCCTGGGCTTGAGCGATCCTTCTGCCTCAGCCTCCCGAGTAGCTGGGACTACAGGCATGCGGCACCATGCCCGGCTAATTTTTTTTATATACATATCAGTTGGCCAATTAATTTCTTTCTATTTATAGTAGAGATGGGGTCTCGCTCTTGCTCAGGCTGGTTTTGAACTCCTGACCTTGAGCAATCCGCCCGCCTCGGCCTCCCAGAGAGCTAGGATTACAGGCGTGAGCCACCGCGCCCGGCCCTTGAGCCACCGCGCCCGGCCCTGTACCCCTTTTAATAAAAGGATTTGTTCTGCAAAATTTAGGATCAGTCAAAAGGCTGCACTTAAGGACCTAGAAGACCACAGTTCACTTTAAAGCCACAGGTTCCCCACCACTGCAGGGGCAGGGACAGATTTCCAAGCCCAATTCTTCAAGCCCACTTATACCTACAACTGTCCTTTATGACCTCCTGTGTTACAGGGGAGAAGCAGCCCCTTGTCTTTTCTAATGCCTGTCCCTCCTCCTTTGCTCTGGGTCCTTGTATACTCAACTGCAATTATATTAGTTTCCTATGAAACACCCACATGGTGTCCTGTAATACCACCCTTGTATTTATTTTTCAATACCTGTTATCCTGGATAGAATGATGTCTCAGTGTTCACTGGATCTCTCTTTATCCCCAGCACCTGTATAGTACCTGACATATTATAAGTGCTCAAACATATTTGTTTAATGAATTAATGGGTGATTCGTGGGTGGGGCAAAGGTCTCCCTCCTTTCACTCCTTGAGAGACAATAGCGTGGAGGTGAGGCCAGCAGCAGGCACATGGCACAGGTGTGGGAGGCTGCTCCAGGATGGAGTCGTTGACACTGGTCAGCAGCAAGAGCTTCACACTGGGAGTCAGGGCTCTCTCTGGCTTTCAGAAGAGGCTGGACTAGATGACTTTGAGTATGTCTTCAAGTCTGCGTTTCTATTTATGAGCGTCAGACCTCCAGGGAGCTAACACTCATCCCAGGTACTACCTTTACCGGTTGGATTTTTTTCCTCTGAACATATTTTATCTGAGCTGGAAGTGAAGAGGGCAGAGATGATGGCTGGAGTGTGAGTATGTGAGGATATGAAATATTTGAAGTTAAGTCGCACTATGAGGGAAGAACTCTATGTAGTCTGTTCAGTCCATCCCTCCTATCAGAGAAAATTACTTATTTAACATCTCACTCTGTTCTGCCAAAGCGGAGTATTGAGTATCCATCATGATTCTTTCCTTATTATGCTTCTTCTGGCTGAGTGTGAGCCACCAAAGCCCAGATCTGTAACGATGGGCAAAGTTATGCTCTTTCCCTGAAATGAACCACACAGAAAATATTATGAGTAATTTTTAAAGTTTGGGAAACATAATTATATTGTATTGCTCTAATACCATCAATACCAACTGGTTCAATAATGACAAATTATTTAGCCCAACAGAAACTCCTTTCTTATAGCAACTTTGCAAATATCATTTTAAAAATATTAAATTGTTTGTTGAGTGCCTGCTATGTATAGGGCTTTGTGAATTCAAAGAAGATTAAGATGCTTCCTTGTCCTTAGAGAATGGTACACGTGAGATGACACAAAAGAAACGAAGGGAATTAAAATTTATCCTCAACCTCCCATGCATCAACATGTTATTTGCATTATCACAGTATAGTAGCTCTATGAGTTTCTTATTGTTGATCCCATTTTACAGATTTTATATAAAACAAGGCTCCAAAAATGTTATATAACACACCTACTATTCAAATGCCAATGCCCTGATTCTGAGATCCATATTCTTCCAGCTTCTGCACTATGTAAAGATATGAAGCTGATGCTACAGGCAATGGCTGGGGAGTGCCCAAAGACAGGAACTTTTACCATCTGGGGTGCATCTCTTGGAAGAGGTGACATTTGGAAGATGAGTGGGCATTGGGCGGGGAATCAGGAGAAAGCCAGCATTCTAGGCAGAGGGCAGAAGAACACGGGCACAGGGCACAGAGATGTGGATGAGCTCGGTCTGTTCTGGAAACAGACAGTGGCCATGACATTGGGTGTATAAGAGCAAGCGGTGGAACACTGGCTGTGCAGAAGAGAGAGGCCCCAAACATCGAGAGCTGCACTTGCCAGGTTGTGTGATTTTAGCCTATAGATTAATGGCTTCCAAATTACTTTCCTTGGATCTCTGTGGCCAACGATGTTCAACTGTCATCTCTTTATTTATTTATTTTTTATTTCAGGACATTATGGGGCTACAAACATTTTGGTTACATATTATGACTTTGCCACATCCCAACCATGATTTGAGACGCGCCATTTCCCTCCTTACAATGCTCACCGCGTCCATTAGTTGTCCCAACCCCCCTACCTCCAAAGAATATTACTACTGTGTGAGCACCTTAGTGTTGATCAGTCAGTGACAGTTTGATGGCGAGTACATGTGGTGCCTATTCCATTTTTGTGATACCTCACTTTGGACGGAGGATGGGCTCAAGCTCTATCCAGGAAAATAAAAGAGTTAGAGAGCCACACCTCTAATATAAGAGTTAGAGACAGAATGAGTTGCTGTCTCTGGGCACCCCCAGCCCTCCCTCCAGGCCTCTATCATTGCCCATCACATCACAGTCACGTCTTCATGTGACATCGAAGCTGGGAGAATATGGGGCTCAGAATCAAGAGCCGTGAGTATGTTACTCAACATTTTCTGAGCCTCAGTTTTTAAATCTGTAAAATGGGATTAACAATAAGAAACTTATAGAACTATTGTACTGTGATAGCACAAATAATATGTTTGGTGGATGGGAGGTTGAGATTAAATATTAATTTCCTTCCTTTCCCTCATACTATCCCACTGATGTGAGAGTTCCAGTTTAAAATGCCATTAATCTTTAATTCTTGACTATTTGGGCCACCTGGGAAGGGGAATTTGAGCAGACAGCAGTCTGGGCCTCGCACCTACCGCCTGCTGCACAGTAATTACACCCTTCCCTGCTTTACATATGGGAGGTATATGCATGATTTAGCTTGAAAACAATATCATGCTGCTTTAGAAAGTTTGACCAGAAATAATTGGGCATCCATAACCATTTAAGCAAGAGACAGGTATGATAATATTTACATTTTGGAAAGATTACTAAGGTCAGGTGGTTTCAGGTGCCTTGGTTTTGTTATCAAAGAAGTTGATGTCGGTGGCGAAAGGCCAGCCTGCAGGTGTGATGTGAGGATCACAGCTGGACTTGGGGGAAGGGCTTTAGGAGTGGTCAAAAGGTGGCTGGAGGGTCTTTGTTTGGCTGAGGACATCTGGCCACAGCTGGCGAATTCCTGAACTCCTCTCTCATCTGCCCACACACTTCCTCACTGTCCTGACTGCCTGAGGAGTCAAGAATGTATGGATTCCCACCTGGCTTGGGTGTGGCCTTAGTATTAATAGAAGGGTGAGGTACCAGCCCAGCCAGCATTAGCATGCCTGAGATTCTTATCAAGCTAATTCCTAAGTGATGAAAAGAAGGGAAAATAGGATTATCCTTCTGCCTGAGCGGCCAGGCCTTTGAACAGTCTTCCTATGGGCCAGATCTCAGTGGGTCTGACTGGCAGACAGCACTGGGAAAGGATCATGGTCCTCCCAGGGGCACTGGGATTCATATGAGGGACCAATGCTGCGTGTGCTTCTCTTGGGGTGCAGAAAACAGTCATGACCCATGTTCAATGACCTGGCCCCATGGGTCTCTACACATCTCAGTGGGTAGAAGAAAGGGACAAGAACTATTCAGCATAACAGACTCTCATCTCTTCTATGAGGCGGCCTCGAAAGCCAGTCACTCCAGCCTGTCTGTACAGTGTGGGCTAGAGACATAGGGCTATCACGTATGATATGGTGGCTAAAAGAAATTGTGTGAGCAAAGAAACCAACACAGTGTCCAGCAATCAGCAGGTGTTTTGCAAGCTGTTCTAAACTGTTTGTGATAAATAATATTTGTAAGCGTTGTCATTTATTACAGTCCAGGTATACTCCAGCTGTTGAGCCCTATTTCTATGGGACCGGGGAGGGGGTGCACAAATATCACCTGGAACCAGCGTTATGGTCCCTCTTTTATCTAATATCTCCAGCAGCAGAAAACTCCCTTGGAGAGAAGCAGCAGGTCGTCCCTGGAGCACTGGCCCAGTCCTAGCACTGACCAGCTGAGGGTCATTTGCCTCTTCTGGGCGTCAGTTCCCCACGTGTAAAATGAATGTTGCTGTTTGTATCTTGCTCTCTGAGGTCATCATGGAAGCTCTGTGCTGAGCTGCTTTACATCTTATTAAAGACTTGGTGAGTCCCTGATTTGTCATTGCTAATAGCTGTGCTGGTCCTTCTCCCATGTAACAAATGCAGTGATCCCCTCCTTGTGTCCTAGGCTCCACCCTGACTCCTCTGCTGACCTCAACGAGGAGGGCAGTAGCCAAAGCATCCTATTAGGAGCCTGTATTTTCAACCGTCACCATCAAAGGATGCTTGTTAATCCTAAAATAGGAAGGGATAAAGAGATATCATCTTGCCTGTCTTTTTCCTTCAGGCAAAGATCCCGAGAAGATATGCCTAAATATTTCAAGAAAGGAGACTCTACAGCCTGTAATGCCAGAGCCTTCTTACTCCTGTGTAACTTCATCCGGTTTTGCTAATACGAAAGGTGGGCTTCTCCTGCAGGAGTGAGAAGGACAGATCTCTGGCTCCATCACCGCCCCCTCGCCCCCAACCCCCTGTTCTTGGAGACTGCTGTACTGACATCACCCCGGGCTCTTCACAGCCCACGCTAATGACTTCTCCACCATTCTCTCCACTGTGCCAAGAGGAGATGGCCCAGCTGGACCATACTTATAATTAAAGCATTTTAAGAGAAAATCAGGGAAGGTGAACTGTTTCTATCACCACCCCTCACCCCAACGCCTGCTTCCAGTTGGATCGGTAGTGTTTTCACCTAGGAAAGCCATCACTGCGACTCTAAGAGCATGGGGGGAGGCATTAAGAAGAGGTAGGCAGGTTGCTCAGATCCGTAGGGCCTGTACCTTGGTCTATGAGACAGGACCCCTGCTCCACCATTCGGTGGGCCTGCAGTTCTAAGCCGTTCATTCTTTGAATGATGGTGGTCACACAAGGGGAGCCCCTCACATCCCTCCACATTTGTACTACGTTTCACATGTTTTATTTTTTCCTCTTAACAAATCCACGAGTTGGGAATCACTGCAGGTGGAAAAACTGAGTATCAGAGAGTTCAAGATTAAGTGCACATCACATAGTCTCTAGGTTCCAGAGAGGCAGAGCCAACCCAGCAAGGAATTGCATGAAGCAAGGAAGCTGTCGTTTCAGTCTTGCTCTTGGTGCTGTTATAGATCAGGGGGCCCAAACTGGCTGTGCATAGGAGCCGTATGGGCAGTACTTTAAAAAAATTTTTTTAAAATTCAGGATATTATGGGGGTACAAACATTTTAGTTACATGAAATGCACTTGCCTAGCTCAAGTGAGGGCCACAAGTGTGTCCTTCCCCCATACAGTGTGCCCCGTCACCATTAGCTGTGGGTTTACCCCTCACCCCTATCCTCCCTATCTGATTGGCACCCAGTGAGTATTACTACCATGTGAGCACCTTAGTGTTGATCAATTACTACCAGTTTGATGGCGAGTACATGTGGTACATGTTTTTCCATCCTTGTGATACCTCACTTCGAAGGATGGTCTCAATCTCTATCCAGGATAATATAAGAGGTGCTAGATCACCCTTGTTTTTTGTAGTTGAGTAGCACTCCATGGTATACATATACTGCATGGGAAGTACTTTTACAGTATGGATCCCTGGTCCCTAACTGAGACCTGCGGAGTCATAATCTCCCAGGAGTGGGGTGTAAGCATTTGCATTGTTCAAATATTTCCCAGGAGGTGATTCCACCTAGGTTGATAACCACAATCCTAGAGTGTTCTGGTAGAATGATAAAAATATAGCCAATCCCTAGAATATTCTAGTAACACCATTTAGTTGATCTAGTATCACAACATCCTACCACCTTCCTCTGAGCTCTTCTAGGGATCTTCATAAAAATTTGAAAGATGTAGGAAGCATAAGCAACTCACAAAATTATTCAGCCTCAGAGGGCCCTGAGTGAACATGTACTGTGGTTTCCTACCAGGCACTTATATACCCTCTCCAATGTGCCCACGATGAGCCTCCTGGCCCTGATGGAAATGCTTGTGGTTGGAGAACTCTTTGCTTGACAAGGTAGCCCATTTCCTTTCACTCTGTTATCCTAGAATTTTTTCTAATAAATGCAAAAGATCATAAAATAAAGAAATAATGATTATAATACCTCAAAACAGCAGTTGGTACTTACTAGAGTTTTGTTGAATTAATTAATTAATCACAAAATATTTCATTTGATTTGGTTATAGGTCTGTATTTCATAAATGGGAGTTGAAGTTTCACAGAAGTCATTGTACTCAATTCAGAAAGTTAAAATAGTGGTAGAATCAGGACTAAACCCAAGGTCAATTGAGTTCCAACACAGTATTCATGCCTGAGGATGGAGGGGAGGGGATGCAGGGTAACAAGAGAGAATACATCCATCCCAGTGCTGCACTCCTGGGAGCACAGCATAGAAGTCAAGTGTCTGGTATCTGTAGCCAGATTACCTAGCTTCAAATCCAGGTTCTGTCGCTTATTGTACAACTTTAGGCTTGTCACTTGACCTCTCTGCCTCAGTTGCTGATCTGTACAATGGTGATAATAGTTACATCTACTTGTGAGAATTAAATGAGTAATATGTGTACAGTGCTTAGAAGAGTGCTTGGTACATAGTAAGCTCTGTATAAATTCAGATTGCTGTTGCTCTTGCTGTTATTATTACTATTATTTGATTAATTTAGTGTCCCTCAATGATGATCACCGTTCCTATTATTTCTCCAAAGATTTGTGAGTGCCAATAAAGCATGTCAGTGACTAAGGAAAGCTGGTTTCACAACACCACCCCACCCTCAGGGCCACCATCATCCCCTCTAAAAAATCCCCACGAGTCATCTATGAATTAGGGCGGTGGCTATGACAATGAGTACGGATACGATTTAGGCAAGGATTCAAGGTTGATTGGAGTCATATATTTGAAGAACAATTCTCATATATCAGGGCTATTAAATGAAGCCATAATGGGGAAAGTTCCCTAAACTCATTCACCTGTAGGCTGTGAGAACAAACTAGACACCAGAGAAGTCATTAGAGTTAGTCCTTGATCCAGGCAGGGACTGAGTTTTCATTGGGTTCAGGATGTGTCAATCATTCCTACTCCTCTACCAGTCAAAGCAGGGCAGAGAGAGTCTGTTAGAGACCAGGTAGAACTTTCACAACCCTACAGTCAGAAAGAGGAGGAGGAGGCACTGATGGCCATGTAGGGAGGGCATACTGAAGCTCAGGGGAGGAGGATTATGAAACTAGGGGCTTGAGAGAGCTACTAGAGCTGCTACTATTTGGACATCATTACATGCTAATATGAAGGACTAAGTTTTTTATTGTCCACATTTCACAGATGTACAAGTTACATCTCTTATGATCCAAGCTATGGCTAAGCCTGTGGACCTTCTGTTTTCAGGCATCTGCCTTTTTGCTTCCCTATGCTCTTGGTTCACCTTTCTGCCATCTAATGAGCAGCATTTTGTTTCAATGTATTGTGTTTTTTTCAAAGGGAGGCAAAGCAATAGTGATTTGCCTTCCATTTGTGAATTTGTTCTAGGAGTGTAGTTAAGTGCACTGTTGATCATTACAAACAATTTCTTTTAGAATCCACTGTTAGGAAGTATTATCCTTCCCTTGAAAGAAAAACACAAGGTATATGATAGGCCATTTGTCTCTTTATATTATGTCTTCCAAGAAGTTCAGAACTAGTCATTAGGCTGAGGTATTGCAACTAGGTAGGTCACAAATTGAATATCTGTGCTCTTTTATCTACCTACAGGCTGTCTCCTACAGTTTTCTGATTTCCTGCTCACAGTTTCGTAACAGAGATGCTGCACTTCTTCCTGTCCTGCTTCCTGGGGAGAACCCAAAGTGGTTCTAGCCTGTGCCTTAGTAGGGTGAGCCTTTTCCATGCCCATAACCCTATACAAGGAATCCATGTCCTTACCCTTTATGTTCAAACTATACAGTATGGAAGCTTGTTCTCAGAAATGGGTCTGTTAAGGTGGGACGGCAGGAGGAGGAAGCTGAGCAGATGATTTCTGGTGGAAGGAGGCCCACATGGAGTGAAAGTCTGTTTCTATTTAGCCCCTTTGACCCTCAGGATGCCTTGTCTTTACCCTGACCCATCCTTACCCAGCTTCAAGAACCCTGGCTCACTCATTCTTTCTGCTCAATCAACATTCTTATATAGCTTCCAGAGGCAAGAAAAATGTTGCTCATATAGTATGCACTTACTGCTGAATATTTCATAATTTTGTTTTCAAAATAGAGTACACCGGGCAAGTGGACAAACTGGGAATAAGTAATTGAATATATGGCGATGGTGGAAGCCTGATTCTCACCACTGGAATAGGAGGTTATAGATAAGCAAGGGTAAGCCATGTGTTACTAAATAAGAATTAAATGTATGAGTATGAACTCGGGTTTACTTAATAAAGCTACAGATGATTAAACACTGGAATAATTATAGGTATGCATTGGTTAATACACACACATGTATTTCCAAACTCTGTCCACTAAGAAAGCCTAGAAGCAATGACAGCCCAGCACAATGAGCTCCCAAGGCTACAACAACATGAACAATAAAATAAATAAGATATATTGGATTATAAACCAAGGTACAACATAAATAGATATCCAATATCTGTGAGTCCATACTGCTAAAAACAAATGATTGAGTAGGCTTTTTTTAAATGATGTGGGACAGAAAAATCTCTCGTAGAGAAGAACTCCAAATAATTTATATGTTATAGAAACTAACCTCTCAGGGAGGTGGTCTACACTTTGAATGGGCTGCATATAGTGACTTCCTTCCAAAAAGATGAATACAAAAAGGGAAAGAAAAGGAGTAACTTTACCGTGGAGAAACCTGACAAACACTACCTCAGCCAGGGGATCAAGGCCAGTGTGAACAGTGAGGTCGTGTTGTTAGCATATAACCCCAATATGATGTGATGATAATGGCACTTTACCTCTGTGGTCTTCCTTTCAAGATCAATAATTCTATTCTAATCATCAGGAAAACACCAGAAAAACCCCAATTGACAGACATTCTGTAGAATACCTGACCAGTACGCCTTGAAACTGTCAAGGTCATCCACAATAAGAAAAGTCTAGCAACTATCACAGTTGAGAGGAATCTAAGGAGACATGACCACTGCATGTAGCCTAGTATCCTAAATGGGATCTAGGAACACAAAACATTAATTGTGACAAACGTCCCATTCACATAAGGTTAGGCAGGGTACAGGCATACAGGAATTCTTTAGCATATTTGCAACTTTTCTGTAAATCTAAAACTATTCTAAAATGAAAGTATATTTGAAAAATAGAGTATATCCAAATGTAAGTTATAATAAGCATTTATTGAGTTAGATATGTACTACATGTTATCCATGATATTATCTATAATCCCCACGCCCCATAGCTTCACAAGGCAGGTACTATTACCGCACCTAATTTTTGAGTGAGGAAGCTGACCATACAGAGGTATAGAAATTTTCACAAGGTCACAGAGTTATCAGAGATTTGAAGTAGATTTCCTCTGACAGGGTTCTGAATTTTTTTTTTTGTTGAGGAAAGCTGAGGATTGTGTTGAGGAAAGTTTGGTCTAGGACCCTTATAGATGCACATTATAAAAGGATGTGATTTTAGTTATGTATTTATAGAAAAGTAATACATTTATATGAAATTTAAAATCAGTTAATACAAGAAGTTGTAATAGGAAAAATTAAGTCTCAGCTTAAATGATCTACTTATATTAATACATTTATTTCTTTGCTGCCTGTTAGCTACTTCCTTTCTCAATGAAAAACAAGGGAGTAAGCTCACATCTATCATCCCTCTCTCCTCCCTCCTTATTTAGACATGATTTTGTTATTAGTATCATTATAGATTACCTCTATAACTTTAAATGCTATAACTAAACCTTTATTTCTTCATTCATCAAATTTAGGCAATGTTTTTGACTTCCCACTAAATAAGAAATTAGTACTACATAGTTTCCTTCACTTTATAATAATTGTAATATTTTATTTGTGATATCTTTACAGAAATAAATAAAAGCAATACTTAGTAGTTAAGATGTATCATCACGAAGTGTATAGTAGCCAGTAACAAAACATGGTCTGTCAGATATCGTAAACTAATAGCTGCTGGAAATGCATTATACGTAGGTGGTGGGCTCGACCAGTCTCTGTAGAGAGCAACCATGGGGTCAGGGCTTAAGTGGGTCCCATTTTTCCTGCCTGGAGACCCAGGAGCAGCTGGGCGCACTGAGACAATGGATGGCCTGAGATGGACTGAGATCCTCCTCAGGCTCAAGTTCAGTTCCCGTGGGAGAACTTGCTTGCTGGCGGGCTGGGGTCAAGATTGTTAAGGGAGGAGAGGGCACTGCTAGAAACTGACACCTAATGGTGTTTCAAAGTCCTTGGAGACCCCCTTTTAAACACCTAGCAACTTTATTTTTTTGACTTAAATGTTCTTCCAAACCATATAGCATTTAGCATTTTCCAAAAATTAGAGAAAAAAGCATATCAAATATTAAATGTATGAAGTTTCTCTGTCAAAACAAATTTTTTTTATTTAGAAAATGTTAAAAATATGTACATTTTTGACATTTGTTAAAAGCAAAGGGTTAGATATAGTCTAAAAATAAAAGAATTGTGCCACTTACCTAGTTTTGCTTTTCTTGTGAACTTTAAAAATCTTGTGTATAGGGCATTTTAAAAATATTTATTTATTTATTTATTTGTTTAAATTGACAAAAATTATAGTGTATATATTTATCATGTATAACATGTTGTTTTGAAATATGTGTACATTGTGGAATGACTCAATCAAGCTAATTAATATCAATTAGTCACATATCTACCATTTTTTTCTGGTAAGAACACTTGAGAGAGAGATGTATGTATGCAATCTTTCTATTTATATATACATATATAGGACTTTTTGTATAAAATATGAATCTGTATTTTTCATTACTTATTATTATAAATCTAAGGTACAATGTACATATAGAATAGAGACGAAACCATGTTAAAGCCACACTGAAAAGACACTCATAATACTGACATTCCTGATGTACAGACATATTTTAGAAAATGTGAAGATGCCAAACACAGACCTTAATAAAGAAAAACAATCATCGAATCACTAGTTTATTTTCATTGTAGTAATTTTTATTAAGTAATTTTTATTAAATCAGTTTGTACAGACTAAACAGTGTATTTATAAAATAACATACAAGTTGAACAATTAGCACAGAGAATTCAAATATTCACTAAAGAAACCTACAAAGGCTGAAATATGAAGCATTGTTCTTGTCAGAGAAAAATAGTTTCTGTCAAAACTTTTTTTAAAATTGTTGTTTGGTGAATGTATGCCTTTAATAATGAGCAGAGAGAAAACATAGGAAAAAAGATATTCTTATACATTGAGCTTTAAACAGTCAACCAAACATTAATATTTTGTATTTTTCCTGGGGAAAAATGGGGTTCTTTCTAAAAATCTTTCACACAAACATACTGAATATCAAAAAATCAGTATTTAAAAACCTGTCAGCCAAAGGTAGAAGATCAAACAGTGGCTTATCAATATTCGTAAGCCATTGTTTTATACGATATAAAGCACCCCCTTTTCCTCGAAAGATGGAACATCTAAACTTTTTTTTGAAGTATGGATTTTATGACAGTAAAGCAAGTGGATATTTGTCAAACTTCTCAGAAACTGCTTTCTCTCTACAAAATGGACATTTCCCTCTATAAGTGGGGGCAATACTATAACATAGTACTCACTCATGCTCTTGAGCAAAAGAAATCCCTCCCCCAAAATAATTTTCTTAAATGGAGTCATTTTAATTCCTCCCAAAATGCAATCTTCCTAGAGAGTCTGAAAAATATTTTCACAGTTTCTGACAACTCTAGAATTCCAATTCTAAAAATTTATCCTAAGAAAATTAAGAATAATTATCAATGAAAATGTTTATTCTACTGTTTTGACAGCAAGCAGGGAAACAACATAAATGGCCGATATTATAGAACTAGTTATGCAAATCATGGTGTGTTAATACCATGTACAATAATGTTGATCAATATTTATTGGCATGAAGAGTATTGACAATTACTCTTATTGTTAAATTTTACTGTTCTATTTAACAGTAAAAAGAGTGGGTTATAAAATATTTGGAAATGAATCCATTTTGTGCTTTTTAAAAGTTTTAATTATTTCATGTCTATGAAATAATTAGCTATGGTTATTTTTAGGTGATGAGATTTTTAGATTGCTTTTATTCATCTTCCGTATGCTTATCTACATTAACAAATCTTTATACTAGCTTGCATCATTTGTTTAATGTGAGATATATGGATATAAAATCGTAATTATATACAATTATGATACATATCTATATAGAGATAAATGTCATAACAAAGGTAATACCAAGTCCCAGCAATGAGGAAGATTGCTAAACTCTGGATATGGGCATTCTACCTATTGGAAATTATAGGTTGAAATTCTGTTCTGATCCTGGGCAATATAATCTATTGGGTTGGGTATTTGGTTAAAAAAAATTATACTTTCAGTGCCCCTGCCCCAAAATGTAGATCCACAAGAAATCTTCGCATGGAACTTCCGGCAGTATGCTACATAGTTGAGCCTCAGTCCCCTCTGGACCTGTATAATTTATGTTGGGCTCCCCTCATCGCTGGCCACTAGACCCTGGGCTTGGGCCCAGACTTTCCCCAGAAGTACAGTCCTTTGGTAGCTGTGGTTTAATACCTTAAATTCAGTAAATTCAGCTAGTTTGAATTATCACTGGCACTTGGGGTTAGCAATTGTTCCACATCCACCATCTCACACCTGGCACTGAGCCAAATTTAAATTCACGCCGTGGGCAGGTACTGCACTTGCCATGCATTTGTTCACGCTGGATCTTCCACTAGGATGATTCTTCTTCCTTACTCTACCCAGATAATTGAGAAATAAAAATAAATTAGTTTGCTTAAAATTATATTTGTTCATCCACATGTTTCAATCTGGAGTGTCCATTGCTTCTCCCACTGGATTATAAACTTTTCTAGAGCAGAGACAAATTGGCCACTTTTAAACACAGAGGTCAGGACACAATAGGCACTCAACAAATGTTTATTGCATGGCAGCCTTTGGTACTAGAATCATGCTATGACATGGGTTGATGGCTGTGAGGCTGCTGAGAATGAGAACACAAATCCCCAAACACTTGCCTCTTTCAAAGGCTATCAGCTGTCTTAGGAAGAGAGGAGGAGGAACGGCATCCACCTGGGGGGTCTGGGTACATCTGAGCAGGGGCCTCCAGGCCTGCAAGTGAAGCAGCTTTATTGTTGCTGAGCTGAAGGGGTGGGTGAGAGAGGGGAGCAGCAGCGTGGCTCAGCCTAGCTCAGAAAGAGTTTCCCAGCCCAATGAGAGGTTGAGGGCACAGGCTCCCAAGGGGAATTAGTACACATGGCTGGGGTGGGGAGAGAGCAGCTGCACCTGTGCCCCCCCCCGCACCCCCCCCCCCATCCTCTTGGCCCAGTTGCCTTAACACTCCTCCTCTTTGCAGTGGTAGACCGTGCCCCCGCTGAGGCAGCGGGGCTTTCGGCGGCGACGAGTTCTTCTAGAGCAGGTGGGGCTCTGAGCCTGGGTCCTTTGGACACTGGAATGGCAGCCTCCTGAACAGGGAGCACCACAAGGAGCCAGGCAGGAGTTTGGGCATTGGGGAGGGGAGCATTTGGGAGCATTTGAGGGCTCCCAAGATTGCTGCTTCTGCTGTGACATTGTTCGGCCAACAGGTTGAATCTAGAAAACAAAAGAGCATGCAGTTACATCAGGGACCCAGGCAGCTTGGGTATCTATTTCTCTTCTCCATGAGCTGGAGCTGTCAAAAGTGGAGACTGGCATTTACAGCCTGGTGAGATACAAATGGATTTGAAAGGGATAATCATCTGGGGAGTAAATCCTGGTGGGCATTCCCAGGGGACTCACTTGCCAACAACCATGTTAAAAATTTACTCTTCCTCTTATAAAAGAAAAACAAACTGCAACCTAGTAGAGCTTATAGCCTACTTCTTTGAGGCCAGTGTCCACCATGGTCAAGCATGAGGGAGAACCAAGTCTCTACTCTTTCTTCACTCAGTCTAATTCTGCTCCAGATCTCTAAACCTGTCTGTCTCTTCTTTGCTTCTCTGGCCCTCTAGCTCCTATGGCTTCTCCCATGTTAGATCACTTGGGGTCTAGAAGAGAAGGGACCCACTTCTCTTCCCTTCTCCCTGCCCCAATGTCTCCTACACAGCTTATCAACTCCCTGGGAGAGCCAAGAGAAGAGATTGGGCTGCCTTAGCTACACCTCAGGTACATCCAAGTGTCTCTCCACACTTACCCTAGAGGAAGATGCGTGAGCAAGTCATCCCAGGAGGAGTCTGGAGGCCTTATGGTGCCAGGAAGGAAGAGGCTTTCTTATACATCCTTCAACTAAAGCCTCCAGGCTACACATTATTGGAGGGCAGCCACAGAGCAGATGATCTATCCAGATATTTCACAATTCCTGGGGCTGGATTCCTCAGCTACAGGCAGCTGGGATGTGATTTGAAGGGATTTGCATGTGAATGAGTGAGCGGAAGTCTGGGGCCTTCAGATTGGCCTAGGTGGAGGTGGAGGTGGGTACACTAGCCAAGTCTGGATGGGGTGCAACTGCTGTTGAGTCCTACCTAGGATTGGAGGTGAAGATCAGGTTAAATCCCCACCCTAGAGCCTGATGAAGACCCTCCTTGTCCTCCTCGTACCTATCATCCATGACTTTGGCATCCAGCTCAATGCCATTGCCTCCATGGAGACTTGCCTGGCTCCCCATCCACATCTGAGTCCTCCATCCTCGGACCTTTATGGATATCTCCTACAGTCTCATGTTGCTCTGGGTCATGGTGACCTAGATACACATCCTATCTCCTCTATTAAACTGTTCCGTAATGACGGGGACTTTGTCTTTATCACTTCTGCATTCCTAGAGCCTGATGTCCCTGACCAAAGAAAATGCTCTTTAGTGTTTGTTAAATGAAACAATCTAGGTGCCATTCGAATAGGCTTTGTATTTCAGGATAACAAAAAGTAGGAGAAAAATAAAGCTGAACTTGTTTTTGTTTGGCGCATCAGACCTTGACTGCTTGTTTTCACCATTGGCCTCCAAGGCATGTGTGAACACCCTTTTATAAATATACAACAGAGCAATCTGTGGGGAGCCCTCACCTTGCACAATAGGCAGAGAATGGGGTGGAGAGTAAAACATTCATCACCCCTGCTCTCTCTTAAATGCAGAAGGGGAGCTGTTTTTGCAATTATCAAGGGACTTTGTGGAAAAGCCTTCCACAGAGTGAAAAGTTTTCCTTTATCTTCCATGAAAATTGATACCATCACATTCTGGCAGTGCTTAAATTGGGAACACTCTCATCGAAATACCGCCCTTCACCTGTGGATGCTTCCCTCCCAGCGTCACTGCTCACGTGCACCGTTGAGTAAAAGGGCACTGACGAAACTCCCGCTGCTGAGGGCTGTGCCTGGCCTGCCTCCGTATTCCTGCTGCCTGACATGAATGAAGTAGGTATTCAGGAAGCAGTTGGGTGAATAAAAAGTTGAGCAATCACAAGGGACATTCTGACAGCAGGAGTTGTCCTTAAGGGCCTTCAGATAATATGTAGGACAAAGGTGAGCAGGGTTGGGGCAGGATACGGGATAAGGAGCTTACCAGGGTGGAAACAGGACAAGGCCAGAAGAGGAGCAGCTGTTGGATGCCTAAATGCAGCAGGACAGGACTATTGGGGCTCACCCGCTTCGTGTGGGCATGCTTTGAGATGCGGCGGGGATGAAGGGAGGGAGAAGTCCTTGTGAGTGAAACAGAAGGTGGGACAACAGTGAAAAGCTGAGCTCACCCTGTAAGAACAGGGCCCTAGAAAGGGAGCACCTGATTGTGGACTCTTGGGGATTAGACCCCTTCTTCCTTCACTCCCTTTTCGCGCCTCTCTCATCCTCTTTCTCCTCCTTCTCTTCCCCTTCTCCATGCCCTCAGGTGTCAGAAATAACTGGTTGCTCCTCAGAAGTGCTTCACACGCACTAAGCATTAGTGGGAAGGCAAAGAAACTCTGATCTCAACGTACCAGTTGCTCCTTTTCCCCACCCAAGACCTGCACCACATGACCCCATGTACAGGAGACTTACGCATCACAAATGCATTTCCTTGAGCTTAACTAGCAAGCACCCAACCTTATTGTCCCTACCCAAGGGCTGAGGGCTCTTTCTAGGGGCTCTGCCCTGGGAAAACTAAGTTTCCCTGACTCATCTACATCTGGTCACAAAAATCTCTAGTTCCAGTCATTTTCAGTTCAATGAACTTCATCACCTAGAAGATGACACTGGGGATTGACTTCAAAAAGATTTGCACTTACAGTGGAAAGTATTCAGCATCTAGTCAGGCATCCTCAAATTACAGCCCGCTGGCCACATGTGGGTGTTTTTGCCCGTTTGTATTTTTACTTCAAAATAAGATATATGCAGTGTGCATAGGAATTTGTTCATCGTTTTTTTTAAACTATAGTCCGGCCCTCCAACGGTCTGAGGGACAGCGAACTGGCCCCCTGTTTAAAAAGTTTGAGGACCCCTGATTTAGATTTACCTAGCTCATGAAGTGAGCCTTTTCAAGGCCCCTGAGCTGTACTTTTTTCCCAGCAGACTTATAATAAGTCCATCAAGTTCTAACTTATGACCCTAGGAATTTAATGTTCTCTTCCTAATCCCACTCTTCCTAATCCCACCTCTCTTTTGGTTCAGGCTGTATCTATGAATATGATTCTATGATTTGATATTAAGCATCTACTATGTATTGGATACAAGAAGGAATAAGAGCCCCTTCTCATGCTTCAGAGCTTTCACTCAGGAGGGAATACAAGTACATTAATAGATAATGCAAAATAGCAAGTAGAAGGCTGGGCAAATGGAGAGGCAGGTGAATTCTGGTTGTAGTGAGACTAGTCAACTATGTACACCAAATTAGTAGGATATTGACTTGAGTGATGTGGGTCCTGCCATTATAATAGTAGAGTCCCACCATGGTCTGGATAAGGAGCCCATCCATGAGAATAATCCCTTCTCATTTCTGGTCTCTATTCATGATGATGTTTCTCTGAGCAATAGATAGCTCCAGGTCCCCAGCCTCAAATGAAGTTTCTTTGCCTCCTACCTGTCTGGGTGGGTTTCTCTTCAGTCCATTTCTCTCTGGTATCCCAAATAATTTGGATATTCCTGAAGTAACTTCCCAAAGATATTTTAAAATCTCTTTTATTTTGCTTTTTAAAAAATGAATAATTGCCTTGACTGTTGTGAACTAAAATAAAATTTTAAGGTTCATCCCCCACCAGCTGACTGAATGGATCCCCTTGTGGCCAAAGGAATATCCTAAAACTAAATTGCCTGCCAGGAGGAAGGAGGTCAGACATGCCTCATCATGCCCCCTCCCTTCTTGGGGACATCCTTTGTAACCCATTAACAAACCTCAGGGTATGCAAGACATAACCTGCAGGTCCTCAATTTACACAACAAATCTTATCTCTGATAACAGCTCCTGATGTTGAAACATTCCAAGACTTTAGACAAAGCTTCATGTCTTTAACCAATTACAAGCCAAAGAATCTTTAAACCCACCTGTAACCTGGAAGCCCCCACTTAGAGATGTCCCACCTTTTTGGGCCAAGCCAATGTATGCCTCCCACATATTGATTTATGACTTTGCCTGTAACCCATCTCCCTGAAATGTATACAATCAAACTGTAACCCAGCCACAGCGAGTCTACTTGCGTAAGCCTTCTTGGGAGTGGCTCTGGGTCATGATCCTCAAATTTGGCTCAGAATAAAACTTCTTTAAAAATTTCAGAGTTTGTATTTTTCCATCCACCCTATTAAATATTCTTCCAGATCACTTTGATATCTTCAGGATAAATCTAAACTCTTTTGACTAGCATTCAAGGCCCTATCCACTTGGGCCCTGTCCTTTCACTGGTCTTTCTTTTCATTTTGTTTCCTCCTCTGCTGAAAGGGTGGAGTCATTATACTATGGAACTGGCTTTTATCTTTTCTGACATCTGTCTGTCTCTCTGTCTTTCCACCAATCTGTCTTTCTCCCCTTTTCTCTCTCCCTTTTTCTACCTTTTTCCCTTCCCCTGTCTCACTCTCTCTCTCTGTCTCTCTGTCTCTGTTTCTCTCTCTCTCTCTCTCTCTCTCACACACACACACACACACACACACACACACACACACACACACGCATTCTTTCTCTTTTTCATGCAGATTCCTCTTTTGAGAATATAGTCTTTTCTTTGTTTTCTGATAATGTACCTTCCAAGGGCCCATTTAATCCCACATCCTCTCTAATGAGTTTCTTGACAACACCTTGCAAGAAAATCTTCCAGAGCATTTATTGCTTGTTATACATGTATTTATTATCATGAACAATTGTATTTTTATGTGAGATTGTTAACACTTGGAGCATGGGTCTATGACTCAGGCATCTTATGTTTCCTTTCAGTGTATACAGTGGTTCATTGCACATACTAGTTATCAGGTCTTTAAAAATCCCCATCACCAACATGTGCAAAGAACTTCTCGGTTTACAGAATACTTTCCAAATGTTGTATCCTAAGTTGTTTAATTCAGATGAAATATGAACTCAGGCCATGACAAAATCAAACCCGATGGTAAGATTGGGATTGTCCATATCACACTGTGGACACCTCAACTATCTTGCCTGAACACTATGATGTTTTTACTTATATCACTCCAAAGAGTTTAGTTTGAGAAGAGTATTCAGGAAATCTATACCTTGATTCCTACAGGTATTTCTTATTTCAGAACTCAGCCCTTCTTATGCTTTCTTAGGAAGAATTGCTAAGAGATCTGATCCTGGTTTTTTCCTCCAGATAGGACTGTACCCAAATCACCAATTATCCCGACTGTACCCAAGGCTATAGAATCATGAGGCCTGGCTTGTTAATATAGACCACTGGGTATAAATGGTTTGGTTTCTATTTCAATAGAAGAAGTTGTCACTAGCAAAAGATGGGCTTAGTGTAGCATTTTCTTCATCAAAGGATCAGTCTCTTTTTTCCTTTCTTACCATCCAAAGGAAGAAAAGGGGAACTTCTGAGATTCAGAGGAAAATAATTAAAACTGTACCCAAAGTTTAGGTTGCCCATGACTCCTTATCAAAGACCTTTTTAAGAATAACTTATACAAAGAAACTGTAAATACTTAAAATCTCAAGATTCAGTCATTTTAAGCCTTAAAGAAAACCTAAACCAAATTAAATAAAAGAACCTTAAAGAAGGACTTTCAGAGTCATGGCATAAAGAGCTCCTTGGGCCCTCTCCCCTGTAAAACACCTATAACTTGAAAAGAAATTTTGTTAAAGTCTTTGTAGACTGTCCCAAGGATATATAGCAAATGAAGAAACTTTATTCAAGAAAGTCTACTAAATCATAGTAACAATAGCAAGAATCTATGACACTTGAATCTCACCTACTTGCTCCTTTTCTGGTCCCTCCTAGCTCAGCACGATGGTAGCTCAAGGCTAGGAAGATGCAGTCACTAGGATAAGGCTCCATCCTCCCCTACCTCCAAGCCATGGGCTGCAGTGTCTTCCTGGGAAGGGGAGGTTGCCAACATTTCTTATATCCACCTCCTAGTTCTATGGTGTAGAGGCTCAATTACAGGAGAGGAAAGCTGGAAGATTGGGGGCTTTCTTACTCTACCATCTTCCACTCATGGAGTAGGCAGTAAGTCTGCTTCAGGCACAACAGGGCAAGAATATTGGGGAATCAATGGCCTTTGTGCCCAGCAATCCAAGAAGACTAGAGGTTGCCACCCCACTAAAGTGCCCTGCTCATAAAGCAGAAGTGTCACTCCAAGAGATATTTATCCCCAGCTCAAGAGCAGTGGCTCAGAGAATGGCCAGGGAAAGAGGCAAGACAAAAAAGCCCAGGGAATTTCAAAGCTCTCACCAATGGAAATGAGTTTATTTGGAACAGAGTGTGAGGAAGTTCAAGCCTAAAGCTTAAATAGTAACTCTAGTAAATAGAGGAGATTTTATTGGAAAATATTGAAAAGGAGACTGTTGGTTCATGGAAGCAAAATGCTAAACCATATAGAAAAGACCAAAGAAAATGAAAGCTAGGTAGAACATTCTGTGTTCAGAACAAATCTCAAAGCCTGACCTCAAGTGGACTCAATTGAATTCAATTATGGAGCAATTTATGTTGTAAGACATTATGAAAAATAATAGAGCAATGTACCAGCAATTAGTAAAGCCTAACAGTTGGGTATGATGCCAACAGAGGTAGACAGCTTAACAGATAAATCGTCAAAGAGGCAGTCAAACAAAGCTCTGCTAAAACTGCTGTCATCCAACATAACTGTGTTGCATGCTGAAGGTTGAGCCCTCTGAGGAGTAACATGAGAAGGAAGCATCATACTTCAGGAGAAACAGATCACACTAAAATAATCCTTCCAAATCACTAGACAAATAAACAAGTAAACAACAGCAAACCCTTAGGTGAGGTGAGGATCATGTACAGAGTTGCTACATTATAATATCTGAAATGACTACGCTTTTTTTTTTAAACAAAAAACATGATACATGCAAATAAACTGAAAAGTGTGACAGTTACACAAGAAGAGAAATAATAAACAGAAACTTCTTGTGAAAGGGCCTAGAGTTTATATTTAATAAACAAAGACTTCTCAGTAGCCATTATAGCTATATTTAAAAATTATAGGAAA